TTCCCAGAGCACATCGCACAATTTTGTCCCTGCATAATCTTGGTCACACTCTTGTAGATTCTCAAAACATCTTATTTTCCTCCTCCACCCTTTAAAATACTTATACAACCTTCCAAACATAGCATCAGTGGTTTGTTCATTAAATTTATCAGGAGTTTATTGAAAAATGTTATCCATATGTATGTGAGCCAAACGGTTAATTTTATTATATCATTCTCTTTATTATCAGGTATTTATTAAGTATTACAATATGAAGAATCAAAAAGTCATCACAAGTACCTAATACAATTCCTGGTATATAATAAATTCCCAATTAACATCTATTGGGTATAACTATAAATAGTTATACAAGATAGTTCATATGAAGTGTAAATGAAATAGCAGGAGAAATAGCTAGTTTCATTGGTGTTTTTTAATTATGTTGCATCTGAAGTACTGGTTGGATATCCAAGACATATTCTTCTTTTTAAGAGTTGTGGCAACCTAATGCATGCACTGCATTAACAGAGAGAAAGCATGGACAGAAAAAGAGGAAAAACATATTAAGAGGTATCAAAAAATGATGGCTGCAGATATTTGAGAGAAAGGTGAAGAATTAAAAATTGGAAAGAGAAATGCAAGTTCTTTAGAAATGAGACTCAGGAAAAAGATAATATTGAATATACATCGGGGAGTATTTTAATGGTAGGTGTGACTTTAAAAGTCACACGAAGTAACTTATTGTTATGATTTCATTAACAAAGGACACAAAAACTTTTTGTGCTCTCCATTAAGATAACAGAGTTTTAATAGTACAGCATATTGGAAAGACCACTTATCCTACGTCTCATTGCTTCAGAGGAGACAATTAAAAAGCCATTTATTACCACTAGCTAAGTCTTTTGTATTCCATATGTAATAAAACAATTTCAATTAAGATGCTTTTTAAAATGTTTTTAATCTAACACAGCAATTGGAATGCACCTTTCAGCACCATTCAAATGTCATTTCCTTAGGAAACAGCTTGGAGTCTTTTACTTGGAAAATCAGAGAATTCTTAGAAAGCTGACTCTATTGCTCTTGATCAACTGTATTTAATAATAGCATGATTTAGACAAGAAAGAGGGCAGATACTTCTCTCTGATCTTAAAAAGTCTTGGTAAGATTTGCTTCACAGTTTCCTGATTTAGCACCTCAGCCCTGCTATCTAAATATGGAATTGTTGCCACAAGCTTTCTACCTGGTGACAGGGACTTCTTCCCCAGCATCAGTGCTGTGGTAAGATGCTGAGCCTTCTTCTTACTCATATTCACCCACTATTTATTGCCACTTAAACCCTCTTAAATATCCAGGGCTCACTAATGAGGAAGTGAGGGTAGGGCAGAGAGGTTCCTTTATTAAGTGATCCTTATTTAAATGGTCTTCAAAAAGCCATTGACATGGAATTTGGTACTCCATGGTGAAAATAAGGAGTGGTATTTTATGCTAAAATAATTTTTAAAAAAATACTATCAGTGTTATTCAGTGGGAGTTCCACTTTTCCTAACAGAGAATGTCGAGTCCTTTCTATGAACTAGTCACAGAGCTTTAATTTCCCCTTTCTGTAAGAAAACATGGTTTGTCTTAGAGGAGCAAGTATTTTGGAACCTGCAAACATGGGTTCTATTCTTGCCACCTACAAACTGGGAGATCTGAGCCTTAACTTAATTTCCCTTCAAAATGTGCATAATACCTAGGTCTTGATGTTGTTACAAAGTTTTAAAGAGATAAGGCATGGACCTTACATGTAGAGGGAACTCAATCCAGTATAGTAAGTCCCCTACATACAAACGAGTTCTGTTCCCAGAGCATATTCATAAATCCAACAAAGTTAGCGTAGGTACCCAACTAACATAATTGGCTATATAGTACTGTACTATAATAGGCTTATAACACGTCCTGGGCTTGAAATAAAGATACTATACCACTGTTCTCCATATAGTACTGTACAGTAAAGCACACAAAAGCACAACCACCTGTTGAGGATGCACGCATGTGACACTGTACACCAAACACGTGAACTAACTTATGTGATTGGACATGTGAATGCATGTTCATATCACTGAAAATTCACAACTTGAAGGTTTGAACGTAGGGGAATTACTATATTCATTATTTAAAAAGACATTGATGAAGGCTCTTTTATGTGCCAACCCAGGACTGATAGTGTATAGGTGAACAGGCAAAACACCTTACTCTGAAAACACACACAGCACAGTAGGAAAAGGAGGCATACAAATAATTATTTGTGATTTTCAGTCCTGGATGCTATTTTGTATATGTAGAGAAATGAGATGACAGCACAGAGCAGTGTGTCCCACCAACACTATAGAAGTATTTCCTTTTCTCTGCAGCCATGTCAGCACCTGTTGTTTTCTGGCTTATTAATGACAGTCATCCTTTTTGGTATTAGGTGTTATCTCAATGAAGTTTTGATTTGCACTTCTCAGACGATTAGTGAGGCTGAGCATTTTTTCATGTGTTTGTTGGCTACTTACGTGTCTTTCTTTTAAAAGTGTCTGTTCATGTCCTTTACCCACTTTTTAAGAGGATCGTTTTTTGTGGTTTTTTTTTTTCTTTTAATTCATTTGAGTTTATTGTAGATCCTGAATGTTAGTCCTTTATCAGATGCATAGCTTGCGAATATGTTTTCCCCACTCTGTGGCTTGTCTCTTTACCCTCTTGATGGTTTCTTTAGCTGTGCAAAAGCTTTTCAGTTTGATAAGGTCCCACCTGTCAATCTTAACTTTTGTTGCATTTGCTATTGAGGACTTGGCCATGAATTCTTTGCCTACTTTGAAGCCCAAGAGGTGTTTCCTAAGTTTTCTGTAAATATTCTTAAAGTTTGAGGTTGTTTGGTGTTTTTTAAAATACCAGTTATAATCATCATCAATTAGCTCCTAACATCTACTACAAATATCTCCCCGCAAATATGACTCGAATAATAAAAATTTACTTGTATACATAAGTCTTGAATATATTTATTGTAGTTCATTGTATTTATCTTAATAGAAGAAAAAATTAATTGCATGTTGGAAAAAGGTATGTTTGTTGCAAATTTATACTCTAGGAGAAACTGACTAACTTTGCATATGTAATATAAAAGAAGCTAAATTCTCTGAGCACTTTATAGTCCCATTTACATTTAATTTAAGTGTCACTAAGAACTTTAAAAGGGACATTATTAGAATAATTTAGGATAAGATAATAAAGTAATTAGTTATAAGCTAGTGATAAGTGAAATGATATTACTGAATATTTCTTTGTTTTAATTATGTGGGCTGGGCTAATGGTAAGAAAGCTATAAGGCACTGCAGTTACTCATTAATCTTAGTGAGCATCATTGATCTTTACCCAAGAAGAACTGTTGGCACTTCCTAAACTAGTGGAAGATAAATGGTAAAGGAAAGAATTAGACGGTTTGCACAAAAGAACTACAATTAACAAATAAGTGTTTAGAAAAAAATGGTCATCCTTACTAATAAATAAATTCTTATTACCAATCTAAAGTATCATTTTTGCATCTATTAAATTATTAGGATTTTTTTAAATTATCATGTCAGTGTTTGTAAGACTGTGATGAAGCTGATACAGATATAAATTTTTGGAAGCAATAAAATAGTGCAAAGTTTTTGAAAAGTAACTCATAACATAAATCAAGAACCTAATTAATGTTTCAATTTTAAGGAATACATCTAAAGGAAATTACAGAATTAGAAAAAAGTGTTTGTTCATTGCAGTACTATTTGTAATAGTAAAACAATAGAAATAACCCAAATATCCAACTATCAAAGGTTAATTAAATAAATTATGTCTTCATAGGAAGATATGCTTAAAGGTTAAGATAAGGGCTCTAGAATCATACAGTCTAGATGCCATCTCAAGCACAGGTATTTACCATGTGACTTTGAACAAGATTTTAAACCTCTCTATACTTCAATTTCTTCTTCTGTTAAATGGAACGTACCTCATATGTTTTTAAAAATAAAAGACATAAACATATAAAACACTTAGAAAAGTGACTCAACCACTATAAGTGCTTAATAAATGCTAGATATTATAATTTTTATAAAACTATATATCTACAAAATCAGTCTTTTTTTTTGTTTTGAGACAAGGTCTTACGCTGTCACTCAGACTGGAGTGCAGTGGCACAATCATGGCTCACAGCCTCGAACCCCTGAGCTCAAGCAATCCTGCTTCAGTCTCCTGGGTGTTTGGAACTACATACAGGTGCATGCCACCACACGTGGTGAATTTTTCTGTTTTTTGTAGAGATAGGGTCTTTCTTTGTTGCCCAGACTGGTCTCAAAATCCCGGCCTAAAGTGACCCTTCCTCCTTGGCCTTCCAAAGTGCTAGGATTACAGGTGTGAACAACCACACTTGACCAAAATCAGTTGTTTCTTTTTACACACAATCCCAACAAAATATAGAATTACATTTAATTCTAAGATTTATATGCAGCTGGAAGCCCCATTTTTTTGTTTTGTTTTTATCAAACAACTCATTATCAATTAATTTGAGGTGCTACACAGTTGAACTGATAAGTAAATTTATATTAATTAGTACATCTCTGGTTTACAGATTAGGCTTTGTATAAAATTTTACTAGAAAAAATATTCTGCATATTAAAAGAGTAATGCATCACATCATAAAGAAATGTATGTTTTTATGCTCCATGTTATCTTATTCTAAAGGGAAAAAATTACCATTTCCATATATGTTTATTACTTTTTATCTCTACCTATTATTTAAACCTGACTGTTAAATAATTCATATTGAAATCAAATTATAAGGAAACATTAACCTCTTATCTGGGAGAGTGCTGTATTTTGGTAGATCATTTTCCTTATCACCAAAGATTTAATATCTACTGTATTTCTCTCAAGATAGATTCTTTTCTTGATAATAGCTATGATTAGAATGTTCAAAAACATTTTAAGTAAGTGATCTGTGCTTTTTCTTCTGTCTTTTCTTGCAGTCATTCCCAACACAGCACTGCAACCCGTCAGCCTTCAATGACTCTCCAACGGGCCATCTCCCTGGAAGGGTAAGATAATAATATTGAGCTTGCTCTTAAAATAAGCTTTTCTACCTCTGAACATAAAGAAAGCCCTTCTTTCTCTGTCTCTCTTTTCCCTCCTCTCTCTCTCTCTCTCTCTCTCTCTCTCTCTCTCTCTCTCTCTCTCTCCTTTCCTCCCTCCCTCCTTCCTCATCCCCCCCTCCTTCTTTCAATCAGTAAATGTCTATGAAGCTTGTGCTATGTACCAGGTCCTGTGCTAGCTACTATATTTAACTAGTCAAGATCTCTTTTTTCCCTACAGAGGGCTCATTGTCTCATGTAAATGACAGAAATACAAACATTACAGTGTAGGTATTATACTGTATAGAGATATGTATAAGGGATTAATGGAGAATTAAGGAGGGGTACCTGACTGAACATAGGCATCAAAATGGAAAGAGGGAGGGAACATGCCAGGGTTGTTCCAGAAAAGATGTAACTTTTGAGCTAAGAACTGAGGCATATGTTGCCTGACAGTACAAATTCATGGATATTCCTTTAAGAGAAAAGATTCATTTATTGAGTACTTATTAGATGCCAACCTATCTATCTGTCTGTCTGTCTACCTACCTACCTGTTTGTCTATCACCTATCTTATCTGATTTTGTTTCTAAACAGATCTAAGATATAGGTATCTTCTTTCTAAACCCTGATTCTCAGAAAGGTTAAGTAACTTGCCTAAGGGCACTTACATAGAAAATAGCACAACCTGGATTTGAACAAGTCTGACTTCACTGCATATCTCTGTCCCTTATAATGTGTTATGAAAAGACTGTATTGAGCTAGAGAGGAGAGGTCACCCAATTCATAAATTCCATTCAGGTTAAGTGAAGAATATCCTAGTGTAAAAAATGATAAAGAACTAGAATTGACTCCAATCTTATAAATCATTAAATAGAATCAAGAACCTACTGTTGAGGATAGTTCTGGAAGTTCATGTGTAGTCTACGGGGCTGAGGTACTGTTTGTTAGGGGTGAGGACTAATTTTACCACTTGTCTCTAACTCACCTGATTTCTTTTGAAGACCACTCTTGGCAGGATTTGGAGTGGTTATCATTCCATATTTTGGTCATCAACACAAAGAAGACTTCCTCTAGCTAGGATAAATAATGACATTTCCTTCTCAAGCTATTTCCAAACCTTTGCCTTCTTCCTTCTTATTAACAAAAGCGTATTAGCAACTTGCTAATAACTTTTTTTTGCATCTTCCACTGTTTTCCACTTTAGTTAAATGAACCCTGTGATAGACATAATCACCAATTCTACTTCTCTGATAAGGTAAAACCAAAAATGTAAAGGCTTTACCCTGACTTCAAAACACAACAGTGACTCCTTTTCTAAGAAATAACAGACTGTAATGATAAGCTTCCTAGTACTCTATTGTGTAATCTAGTATCAAGTAGCCTGCCTTACATTTAGTGAATAATGCAGTATAAAACAGATTCTTTTCCCTGAAAGTGTGGAGGAAAACTGACTCTGAAATTTAAAAATTGGGTTGGAATCCTAGCCTCTGCCATCTGTTGCTGTTAATCTTAAACAAAGCTCTTCCCTTCTCTAAGGATGGGTTTCCTCAACAGCCAAAGAGAAAAGTATAGCACTCACCATTTTTAAGAGCTAAAATTAGTAGGTACATTATGGACCCTCAACAAATACTAGATAAATAAACGCTTAGTCCAAGTGTTCTGAAAAATCAAAACTTTTACTTTTATAGCCTAGATTAAAATTAGTTTGAAGTACTACTGTATTTTTTTATTGATTTTATTTTATTATAGAAATATGGGGTACAAGTAAGGGTTAACTATACAAATAGACTACAGGCAGGTGAAGTGTGGACCTCTAACTGACCCCCTTTTCCCCTGGTTTAGGACCAGGTACTCTTTGTGTTGTTAGGTGCCCCATCTCCCTTCCTTCTTCCCCTGCCATTGCCCAGTGACTGCTGCTCCCTCCACTGTGCTAATGACTAGTGTTCAGGGCCCACTTATGAGTGAGAACATGCAGTATTCAGTTCTTTGTTTCTGTAATAGATCACTAGGTACGATGATTTCCAACTCCATCCAGTTTTCTGGAAGACCTACTTTAAAAACTAGTTCTTGCTGGGCATGGTGGCTCACGCCTATAGTCTCAACACTTCGGGGAGGCCAAGGTGAGAGGATTGCCTGAGCACACGAATTCGAGACCAGCCTGGGCAACTTGGCGAGACCTCATCTCTACAATAAATCAAAAAAGTAGTCAGATGTGATGGTGCATACCTGTAGTTCCAGCTACTTGGAAGACTGAGGCAGAAGGATTACCTGAGCCCAGCAGGTCGAGGCTACGGTGACCATGAGCATGTCACTGCACTCCAGCCTAGGCAACAGAGTGAGACACCAACTCAAAAAAAAATTGCTCTTAAATATATTTACATACAAGGAAGGACCCCTCCCAAAAATTATTTATAAAAAAATGTGTATTTATTCCTACATGTTTAAACTTCAGTCACCTTCAAAGCACTCTCCATTTGATTTAATACACCTATCAAGACACTTTTTCCACTGCTTAGAACAGTTTTTGAACTCATCCATTTTGATGCCTTTTAGTGCTTCTGCTGTTTTTTGTTATACCTCTTCCACATCAGCAAACCATTTCCCTTTGAGGATATTTTTTATCCAGGGAAACAAAAAATGTCACTCAGGGTAAGATCAGGTGAATAGGGAGAGTGGGGCATGGGGATCATGCTATTTTAGGTTGAAACTACTCAACACTCAGCATGGTATTGTCAGGTATGCTGTCACAGTGGAAGAACCAGTCACCTGTTTGTCACAACTCAGGACATTTCTTTTACAAATCATGACACAACCTTCTCAAAACTTCCAGATAGAAACTTTGGTTGACCATTTGATCCAGAGGAACAAATTCTGAGCATACTACAAGGGGCCAGTCCTCTGAAAAAGAATTCCAGTTTTATTTGAGTTTCCTCCCCTTATGTATTTATTTATGTAAAACATTGCTAGATATAAAATATTTGAGGTTTAGAAATAACTTTGCATAACTGGAATATTTAGAGGGAGAAATCTCAGTAATTCTCTGCAATGTCCAGAACATTAAAGTTAATGCTACATGTGCCCAGCTGGCTGTCAGAGCAAGAGATAATGTGGCATATAATCATTGTTACTGAACACATAGTGGGAAAGTTATTTTTCACCTTACATAGCCCAATGAGTCTTTAGCAGGTTTCCCATTAAGATGTTATACTGCTGAGTGCAGGCAATCAACTGAAATTGGAAATTTCATTATTTCAAAGCTCTCCTTCCTAATGCTCTTGTGAAAAGCAACTACATAGGATATTTTTTAAATGAATGTAGTTTAAAAGACCATATGTTTATGTAATTTTCACCTAAGTTGCTATTTACTTGACATAAAATAAGTGGAGATATTTTAGATTTCCAGTTAATTTGATCCATGGAGAAAACAAAACTACCTAATTGAGCCCTCTACCATAAAGTCCCTGCTGTTTTAAAATTGATATCTGAATCATCTATAACTATGCCAGACAAAATAAGGCGGACTAACAACCCCATTAACAGTGTAAGCTCTGTGTTTCAGGTTCAAATTGACATACACAGCCCACACCTTAATCTTCTCTTACTCCTGAGACCCTATTAAAAGGAGGTTAATGAGACAATATTTTTTTTAAAAAAGGACAATTCCATAGTAATAAAGAAAATGGAAGTGGCTATCAAAGGCCAAAAAGTTTTGCCACGTTCATGGACAACAGAAAGCCAATCGACGCACATTGATGAATGAACCAGAACAAAGTAATTTCAGTCTTTGGTCACCTATGGAGGAAGGGCCGTGTGATGTACAACTCCAGGAGGGACCTTCCACATCATGTTCTATGTGGGTGGCATTTCCTGGAATTTTATTTCCAAGGATGCCACCCACAAAAATGCTCTACCATGGTGTAGTATCCACTGTGTGAAGGGGCCTACAGCTCAGAAGAGAGCAGATCTGCCTAGCAGAACTCAGAAAACTCAGACTTCATGGTAGGGACAACAGATGGGACTGAGAACAGAGTCTGAGAATAGGAATAAAGATGTTCCCACTTAGCATGGTCACCCCTGCATACAGAACAGCTTCTAGGCAAGTACTTACTACCAGTCCAAAAAAAAAAAAAAAAAAGTTTTTCTCAGAAGAAATGGGATCATTCTTCCAGGAAGCTAGATGAACTAGGTTAAAAGTTGGCCCCCTTCACAGTGTGCCAGTTGGGGAAACAGTTTCTGATTTGCTCACCTAGCCTGAAACCGTTAAGTTAAAAAGCCTTTCCTTATACTCAACACCCCCTGCCAGTCTTTCTACTACTTTATTCTTAAGTAGGAACAGAAGTTTTCAAGTTACTAAACATTTTAGCAAAATCTGGAAAATGACAAAGACAAGATTAAACACACATACACAGAGACAAACTACCCTCAAGAAAACAGAGGCAATTCTGAGAACAAAATAAAATCTGCATACTCAGTATAAGCATACTTGTTTAGCAACATGGAGTTAATCTCTGGAATTAAAATTGAATTGGTTAAAAGCGATTGACTCTGGGAAGGCAGGTAGGATTCTCAGGAAAAGTGACACAAATTCAATTTTGAGGAATGTGTTTGGAGCAAGGTAAAGGTTAAAAAAAAAGAAAAGAAAATCATGTGCAAAAAACTAGAGGAACTTTTCTAATACTGCTAAGACTAAGAAGCATGTTCACCTACTCAAAATGCTTTCTTTCTTCCAGATGAGGGCGCTTTATCTAATGTTATCTTGCAGGGTCATTTTAGTGGCATACTTAGATGCTAAATTTCTAGTAACTAGCATTTTCACATCAGTGAATCAGCTGCCCCGGAGGGTGTTGACCACCTTTTACAAGTAACACTTAACAGGAAATTGAATGGCCATCTTCACAGATGCTATGGAAGGAATTATTTATGGAATAAATGGGTGTTCTAATTGACCCTAATTAAAAATCTCT